CAATAGGTGATTTCCATGATCTAGCTATCGCCAATGCGGCTGATATTAAAATGTGATATGTAACTGCCCATTGAACCCTAGTTAAGTCTTCTGGTGGTATGTATAGGAGACACATCTCTGCCGTGGGCTCTACGTTGGTGTTCGTTATTTGTTGAATGAGATGTCCCACCTTGCGCCAGAATGGTTGTATGTTATCACAGGACCACCATGTGTGTAACATCGTTCCCACCTGTTGCTTGCACCTCCAGCATTGATTCGTGGAGGATTGTGGCCATATTTTGTGAATCCTCTCTGGTACCAGGTACCAGCGATATAAAATTTTCCTTTGGAGTTCTAAGTGATTAGTGCATGACGTGATGCCTTTGTGTGATGAGTATGCTTTTGTCCAGTGTTCCTCACTGATTGTTCGGTTCAGTTCTTTGTGCCAGGCATGTTTGTACGTGGTTTTAATGTTAGTCTGGGAGTGGATCAAGGCTTTATAGCACAGTGATAACACATTTTTGGGGGGTAATGCGTTTGTGCAAATTTTTTCAAAGGTAGATAATTTCTGGAGAGGTTCGTCGTGTAGTGTTTGGGGTTGGGTGTGTTGTAGGTATGACTTAAGTTGCAGGTACGGAAACAGCATCTTACTGGGGAGATTATACATGGTTTGTAGTGCCGGGAATTGCATGAGTTTCCCCCCATCATATAGCTGTTCAATGAGTTTGATGTCATGTTCTAACCAACTTTTTGGATTTAGTGTTGGTATGATCCTGGACAGTACCTCCATTGGAGTCGCTAGGGGTATGGGTTGGTAGGCCGTCACTTTTTTCTGTACGGAGTCCCATATTTCTAGTAATAATTGGGATGTGGGGAGTAGATGCTGTGTCGTGTGTCTGCAGTGTTTCGGGGTCCATATGTATGAGTAGATTGTGGTATGGTGGGCCCAATAGGATTCTACTTCCAGCCATTGTGGTTGGTCTGGTCGTGGTATAAGCTGTGATATTGTGTGGAGGATTGCTGCAGTGTAATAAGTTTGTATGTCGGGGAACCCAAGACCGCCTTTATTCACCTCTCTTTGTATAATCTTGGTGGCTATTCTAATCTTTTTGTTTTGCCACACGAATCTAAGGAGTAAGTTTTGGGCCGTGAGAAAGAAGCTCTTGGGCAGTGGAATTTGTAAAGTTCTATAGAGATATTGGAGTTTAGGTAGGAGCGTCATTTTTACTGCCGTTATACGGCCTACCCAGGATATGTATTTTCCTTCCCAGGTTTTTAGGGTGTCTTTAAAGTTCGATAAAATGCTCAAGTAATTGAGCTTGAAAAGGTGTACCGGGTTTTTCGTGATTTTGAGGCCTAGGAATGTTAGGAAGTCTGTACGCCAGTCTAGTGGGAATTTCTCCTTTAGTGTTTCCATTTGTTGTTTGTGGATATTTATCCCCATAGCCTGTGTTTTAGTTAAGTTGAGTTTGTAATAGGAGTATTTCCCGTATTGTTCTATGTGTTTCATAAGGTTGGGCAGTGAAATAAATGGTTCTGTCAGTGTCAAAAATATGTCATCAGCAAATATACTTAATTTATATTCCTTGGTTCCCAACGTGACTCCTTTTATGGAGATTTCGTCTCTTATTTTGGCTGCTAGTGGTTCTAATGCCAAGACATATAGCATAGGCGACAGTGGACAGCCTTGTCTCGTCCCGTTTGTGATCTTAAAGGGTTCTGAGCAGAACCCGGCTGTCACGACTTTGGCTGTGGGCTTGTTGTATAGGGCTCTAATCACGTTGATGAATTGTTGTGGGAATGAGAATTTGTGTAGCACTGCCTGCAGAAAAGACCAACTAAGGCGATCGAAGGCCTTCTCCGCGTCCAAGGACACCAGAAGGCCCCCGATTCCCCCCCTCCTTATGCTGTGCAACAGGTCCAGTACTTTGCGTGTGTTGTCTGACCCCTGCCTTCCAGCTACGAAGCCCACCTGATCTGTATGGATCAGGTGAGGTAGTATGCGGCTCAGTCTTTGTGCATGGACCTTGGCGTATATTTTAGCGTCGGTGTTGAGGAGCGATATCGGGCGGAAGTTGGGGCAGTGAGTTGGTGGTTTGCCTGGTTTGGGGAGAGTAATAACATGCGCCGTGAGTAGTTCCTTGGGGAGTGTGCTAGTTTGGGTGGCATAGTTAAATAGTTGCGCAAGGTAAGGTGATAAAATGTGTTGGAATTTCTGGTAGTACAGGTTGGTGAAGCCGTCAGGGCCCGGTGCTTTATTTTTCGGCAGTGCTTTTATCACAGCTCCTACCTCATGTGTCGTCACGGGGGCTGTTAATTCTGCCATCTGGGAGGGCGATAGTGTCGGTAGTTGTGTGTTTGCTAGATATGCATGTATGTCTTCATCCCTTTGTTTTAATTGGTCCGAGGTCTCTAAATTATATAATTTTTCGTAGTAGGAGGCGAAGGCGTTGCTTATCTCCACCGGGGAGATGAGTTTTTTGTTATTCTGGTCTATGATGTATTGTATTCTGCTGTTAGTTGGTCTGCTTTTGAGTCTAGCTGCTAGTAATTTGCTCGCTTTGTTGCCTTGTGTATATTGTTGTTGTTTAAGTTTATGTAAGTTGTAGCTTACTCTTTGTAGTGTGTGTTCTTTAATTTTGTCCTGTAAGTCCTTGATTTGGGTGTGCAGTGATACTGTCGGGGATATTTTGTGTTTGGTGGTGAGATCCGACAGTTGAGTGTTCCATGTTATCCATTGTGCCTGGGTGGCACGCTTGGTCCTCGCTGCTGTTTGGATCAGCAAGCCTCTAATGACTGGTTTGTGCGCCTGCCATACCATGTCTATGTTAGTGTGCTCTGTATTGTTCACGTTAAAATATTGTGTGATTTCTTCCTCTAGGTGTTGAATGATCGTCGGGTTGTGTAGTAGGGATTCATTAAGTCTCCATGGGCTTTTGTGCTTGAAGTCGTATTGGTCTTTAATCGTTAGTGTTGTTGCTGCATGGTCTGACCAGCTGATCGTGTGGATATTGCAGTCTAGTATTTGGTCTAGATGTTGTCTGTGGGTATGGAATCTGTCTATCCGCGTGTACGTTTTGTGCGGTGCAGAGTAGTACGTGTAGTCTTTTAACTGTGGATGAAGTACTCTCCACGAATCGTATAGTTGATGGTCCTCTAATAATTTCTGATATTTTGTGCACGCTTGAGTCTGTTTTGATCTGGGTTTGGAACTAAGTTGCGCTGTGGAATCTAGCTTTGGGTCTGTAATGTGATTGAAATCACCACATAAGATCAACATGCCTTTCTGTAGTTGTGTTACTTTAGCCAACAACTTGTGAAGGAAATTTCTTTGGTCTGTATTTGGTGCGTAGATGGAGACTATGGTGTACAGGGTGTTATTTATGGTGCATACTAATATTATGTGTCTGCCTAGAGGGTCGATATAGGAGTCGTGGTGTGTGAATGCGACTTTGTTGCTAATGAGTGTTGACACTCCTTTGGATTTGTGTCCTGTTGTGGCGTGGAATTGGTGAGGGAATAAGTCTAGTCTTAAGGTTGGGTTTGTTTTAAAATGTGTTTCCTGGAGGCATATTATCTCCGCTTGTTCTTGTTTCAAGTCCCTAAAGAGGCAGTGGCGCTTGTACGGGGTGTTTAGACCTTTTACGTTATGTGAGTATATTTTCATGTTGTGGTTTCAGTGGGTAATAGCTGTCTGTCGCTGGAGTTGTATTGGTGTTGCGCTTCAGTGTAGCATTCACCAGGAGACTAAACTTTATATTTGGCTTCCCCCTGGGCTCGGGATTTCCTCGTTCAGGGTATGGTTGTTCGTGGTCGTGGTTATGGGCTGTCTTGAGTCGTTTGACTTTGGTGGCTAGGATAGTGAATAGCGGGTTAAGGGGTAAGGGGGAGTAACTGGGAGAGAGCATATTGGTAGTCGTCACTACTAATACCCAAATTCGGGTGTGGCTACTATTCCGCGTAGCCTCTAGGGGTCGTGGAGTGGGTTTGAACTTTGTACTACAACTGTTGGCTAGCCCTTCCGTGTCTGGAGACAAGAGGTGTGGTACCTATAAAGTCCTATATGGTTCGGAGCCAAGAGCTCGACCAATTCTTTATACCCTAACCGTGTCCCGTCCTTGCCATGCGTGCTTGAGGTTTCGTGTCTCAGTGTGTGTTATCTCTGTACCTCAGGTTTGGTGGCATCTCGAGTGTGGGACTAGTCTACACTCCCAATTCCCGATCTGCTTCTCCCATCGTAGTTGTATAGTGAGATTGGCATTGGTAGTCACAAGACCAAGTTTCAACAGTCAAACATATAACCAGTAACATATAACCTTCCTGCAACCGCACTTTGAAGGTTCGCTGATGTGGTTTGCTTTTCTACATTTATATACTGTATCTTAACGTCGTAGCTTTCTATAACTTCGGCCTATATCTTCCCTTGCCCGACTAGTGGTGCTGCCTTATGGGGTTAGAACGTTGTCACCCTTGTTATCTCATTGCTAGGGTTGGACTCTGTGGCCCTCGTTTAGCCTATAGCCCGTGCTGTGAAGCTGCCTCCCAGACCTCTGGGGTGTTCTTGTGCAGCCAGATCTTCCCAGAAGGTAATCTCCAGGCACTGTAGCAGTTAGCAGACTGCTTCGCCAATCTCCTTCCATCTAGCAGTAATACTACTCTTACTGATGTAACTAGCAGTCCTTTTTTTTTTTTTTTTTGGTGACTTTCAACTACCATTTCCTGATCTGTGACTTATACTGCTTCTGGGTGATTTTAGGACCTGCCCTGGGAGGTGAACAAATGCAATCAGCATTTACATATTTTGCTCGTTAAACTGAGACATTTACACAACTCTAGCAAGGCAGAGGCTCGCATTAACAATAAACTCTGTGCAACTATTTACAATTAAGTATGCTTCTTGGTCATATGAGTGCTCCCTTAGCTATGGCATTCAAAGTCTATGATACATAAGCATATAAATTGAAAATCAGACCCCTCGTAGCATCGTCTTCAGCGGGCGTGCAGGGTTCTGGTTCACTTGCGTTGCTTCTTCCATTCTGGTGTCAGCCGCTGTGTAGCTTGCGTTTTCTCCGGCTGTTGCTGCAGTGCTATCCCCCAGGTCCGGAGGGTTTTTCTCCCTTCTTCTGGGGACAGGATAGTTGTTACCGTCCCATTTCTCTGGATCAGGAGGCGGACCGGGTGGCCCCATCGGTATGGCACCTGTCTTGCTCTGAGTGTCTCTGTGATGTCTTTATATTCCTTGCGCTTTTGCAGAGTCAGGGCAGAGAGGTCTGAATAGAGTTGAATGGACTTGTACTTGTCGGGCATGTCTCTTCGTTTCCTGGAAGCTTGCATAATTGCTTCTTTAATATGGTAGTAATGCAATTTTGCCAGGACATCCCTTGGTGCTTCGGCAGGTAGGAATTTCGGTTTTGCCACTCTGTGAGCCCTATCGATCAGCAACATATCTACCGGTAAGTCCGGTGACAGGGCTTGGAAGAGGCTTGTTAAGTATTCCACCAGGTCTGGGTGTTTTACTTCTTCAGGGATCCCCCTTAGTCGTATGTTTTGCCTCCTCGAGCGGTCTTCCAAGTCCATTATCTTTATTTGGAGTTGGTGTTGTTGGTGTTCCAACCTTTGGACATGGTCTGCCATGTCATTGTGGGCCTCTGCAAATTCGTCCATTTTGTTTTCCGCCCTGGCCGTGCGCTCCCCTAAATCGTGCACGTCTTTCTTCATCTCTGCTATCGATTTGTTCAGGTTGTCGAGGAGTTTGTTGGACATCGCGTCCAGACACTTCTGCAGTATCTCTTGTGTAACTGGTAAGCTCCCTGTCGGGTCGGTGTGGAGAGGGATCGTGTCGTCCCCGTCGCCATCTTGGTCACTCTCGTGCGAGGCGGCTTGTTTAGGCTGTTGCGGCCTGGCTCCAAAGAACATGTTTTTTTCTCCCTTGTCCGGGATTTTTTGCTTGGACCTTGCTTGGGACATCTTCCCTGAATTTGCGGTCCGGTTTTCCGTTGTTTGTTGCTGGTGAAAAACGCTTTCTGGGCTGTGAGGATCGGAGCACTATTTACATGCGACCGTCCATGCCGTGAGCTAGGCCACGCCCCGGATAGTGGCCATTTTAACTCACAGACACTGTTTGGACTTTTCAACACGGTGCCATCTCGCCAGTGGACTATACAGCAGGGGACACATTATACAGTGATTGTTTTTCATTTAGCCTGTATATGGTCTGCAGAATCTGCATTAAACTGTATCTTCCAAAGTACTGAACGGATCTGGGTGAATTTCGGATATGTGGTTCATCCAGATCCCCCGGTCCTGAGGATATACTTTGTATGGTGTTATTGCATGTTTTGGGCTCCCTGTGATATGTTTTATAATACTGTATTTCTCTGCCTGTGATAATTAGATTAACCATTGTGTTCAGTAATCATATCACAGGCAGAGGGGAGGATTTTGTGTGGGAGTGTCTGTGTGTATTGTACGGATAGAATGGTTGTATTTCAAAACCCTGTGGGCAGTACTATGTTTGTGGATTGTGAATAAAAGAGGCTGTATGTGCCAGTACAGTCAGTTCTGCTTAACCTCAAAACGAAGTGTTGTCTCGTTATTGGGGGAATTGGATTGTATGCTGATTGCCAGGAGTTTAAGCTGATTGTATGCTTTTCCTGTTCAGCTGCTTACAGCATTCATATGCTTGATAGCATTCGTATGCTTCTCCGATTCGGTGGTTGTGGTGTCTGCTGCAGTGCTTTGAGTCCTCACGAAGCGCTAGGAGCATCCTTCAACTGAGGTACCCAGTCGGGGTGCCAGGTGATCCGTTACAAAGAGAAAAGGAGGAGTGATTGTCCCATACGTCCGGAAAACTTCTGCACCTAAGAACCTTAAGGGGACAGGTCTTAGGTGTGATGGATTTGTCCTCTGGTAGTAACCAAAATAGGTTTCTCCTTACGGTCAAATATAACAAGAAGACCTTTTTTAATGCAAAGCCCTGATGGACACAGATGCGGCAGGAAACTTAATTGACATACATTTTGTTAAAAAACAGTTAATACCTATCAAGGAGAGATCATCACCTCTGGCCGTTGAGGCTATTGACGGGAGACCTCTCTCAACCCTTGATTACCCGCGAAACCTTGCCTATTAATATTTCCATTGGTGCCTTACACAAGGAAGACATAACATTACAGATAATTGCCTTTCCTTCTTGTCCCATCATATTAGGATTTCCTTGGCTCATTAAACACAATCCTCATATTAACTGGGCAAAGGGATTGGGATAAAGACTGTACAGAGAGATATGTATTTCCCATTACCAAAAGAGTGGGCATCGTTACTTTACCCACCAATATGCCTCAGGCCCCCGAAGTTGCCATACAATACTGGGAGGTTAAGGAGGTATTCAGTAAGAGTCAGACCGATATTCTACCTCCTCACAGATCATATGACTGCTCCATAAATCTGCTACCCAGCGCTATGCCACAGGAGAGTAGAATAATGGAAAGTAAGGGCCATACACGTAAATCATCTTCGCCTGCTGGTGCAGGGTTCTTTTTTGTATCTAAAAAAGATGGTGAATAATGCCCATGCATTGATTACAGAGCACTAAACAAGATCACCATAAAAAATGGCTATCCCATTCCCCTCATCTCTGAATTGTTTGACAGACTCCAGGGTGCTAAAGTCTTTACTAAACTCGACCTCAGGAGTGCATACACTTCGGTAAGGATTAAGGAGAATCATGAGTGGAAAACGGCATTTAGCACTAGAAGTGGGTATTATGAGTACCTTGTCATGCCCTTTGGGTTATGCAATGCTCCGGACGTATTTCAGGATTCTATTAACGATGTACTCAGAGACTATATTTATTCATTTGTCTTAGTATACCTGGATGATATACTTGTTTGACCCTGACCTTCATGCCTCCGAAACAGGGGTGGGAGCTGTCCTATCTCAGAGGGAGAGTCAGTGTACTCCATAGCATCCATGTGGGTACTTTTCTAGAAAGTTGTCTCTGGTTGAGCATAATTACGATACAGCAACAGGGAATTATTGGCCATTATACTAGCGCTGAAAGAATGGCAACACCTTTTAGAGGGTTCCAAGGATCACCTTTTGATCATCACTGATCACAAAAATTTGGCATATATTGGTGATGCTAAACTACTGTCTTCTAGACAGTCCAGATGGTCTTTGTTCTTATCCCGCTTCAACTTTATTATCACTTACAGACCTGGTCCCAAACACGTTAAAGCTGATGCCCTCTCTAGACAGTTTGATATTGAATCAGAACGAGAACAAGAAACATTCCCTTTTTGTGGCAAAACTAGCCACTTGGACTAACATGGACAATATGTGGGAAAAGTTACCCGTATCTTTATTGTGCTGTACTATGTGCCTGGCTGTAACTGACTGCCTTCTCTGTATGTTTCAGTGTTCTTGTCAGCTATCTGCCGAAAGCAGATAGCCTTACTGTGTTTCATTTTACGAACGGCGCCTTTGCGGGCTGTTCGTGAACCGAATGAACTATCCTTTAATAGCCCACACACTAAGGGACGTGTGGCGCTTGTTAACCGATTGCAACAATGTTGCAATCGGTAATTAGAGGCTCTCCTAGATGGCCGTCGTTCGGCTACCGACCACGCGGCGGTCGGCCATCTTGGATCCTTTGTTCCCCCAGCGGTGTTTGGTCGTCGAGCGCATGGAACTGAAAATGGCTACTCGACGGCGCGAACACCGCTGGGCTTCCAGACCATTCGGGAGCTCCGGGCCGTTCGGTAGTTTGGTCTTCCTATATGGATCGGTCCTTTAAACGTGTGTTATAAATAATGTGTTTTTCGTGCGGCGTTCGGTTGTTTTAGCTGGGATCTGAGTGGTATTCTCACGAACTGTGTGCTCAGACCCCAGCTATCTACCGAACGTCCATTCGTTTAAATAGACAAAGTATGGCAAAAGGTATGTATTTTAAAGTAAATTGCCGGTTCTGCTGCACGGAGGGATAATCCACTTAACGGTATATTCCAGTGGGAGTATCCCTCTCGTGCAGCAGTGCCTGATGGGAGAAATGTCCAGAATGTTAAGTCCCCCATGTAGTCCCCTACTGTGTTACCCCTGCTAGGTCAGTATGGAAACCCCTTGCATGGGGACTTGCATAAATACTGGATGCTATAAATAGCCTTGCCTGGAAATTATAGACCTGTGAGCTTAACTTCGGTAACTGGGAAAATATTTGAAGGGCTATTAAGGGATAATATTCAGGAATTCATTGGGAAGAACTTTGTTATTACCAATAATCAGCATGGTTTTATGAAACATAGGTCATGTCAAACTAACCTAATTGCATTCTACGAAGAAGTAAGTAGAAGTATAGATCAGGGTGTTGCAGTGGATGTGATCTACTTGGACTTTGCCAAGGCATTTGATACGGTTCCTCACAATAGGTTGGTCTTCAAACTAAAAGAAATTGGTCTAGATGAATATTCCTGTTCTTGGGTAGAACATTGGCTTAAGGACAGAGTACAACGAGTTGTAATTAATGGTAAATTTTCAGGCTGGACAAAAGTGGTAAGTGGTGTCCCTCAGGGTTCTATTTTGGGACCACTTCTATTTAACATATTTATAAATGATCTTGAAATAGGCATTGAAAGCCATGTATCAGTGTTTGCAGATGACACAAAACTTTGTAAAGTAATAAAATGTGAGCAGGATATTGCTTTGCTGCAGAGAGATTTGAATAGATTGGGGGACTGGGCACTAAAATGGCAGATGAAATTTAATATAGAGAAATGCAAAGTTATGCACTTCGGGGTTAAGAATGCACAAGCAATTTACACCCTAAATGGTAGTGAATTAGGGATAACAACACACGAGAATGATTTGGGAATTGTTATAGACAACAAATTAGGCAGCAATATGCCATGTCAATCTGCAGTTGCTAAGGCCAGTAAGATTTTGTCATGTATAAATAGGGGCATAAATTCTCGGGATGAAAATATAATTTTGCCTCTTTATAAATCGCTGGTAAGACCACACCTTGAATATGCTGTGCAATTTTGGGCGCCTGTTCTAAAGAAGGATATCATGGCTCTGGAGAGGGTCCAGAGACGAGCTACAAAATTGATAAAAGGAATGGAGCATTTTAGTTATGAAGAAAGGTTAAAAAAATTAAATCTGTTTAGTTTGGAAAAACGGCGCCTGAGAGGGGATATGATAACTTTATACAAATATATTCGGGGCCAGTACAAGCCTTTATCTGGAAATCTATTCATAAACATGGCTATACATAGGACACGAGGTCACACATTTAGGCTGGAAGAAAGGAG